GGCCATAGAACAATAATCCACAAGGTATAACTATGAGAGACTCTGACAAATATTGGAAGCTGCTCTCAAAGACCCGAATCTCAGGCAGGCACGTCTCACCCTCATTGGCACAGAGCGCGGCAGGACCATCCTTTCAGTCGTGGAGACCCTCAAAGCAGCACTCTGCCCTAAAGACCGTAGCAGTGAAGCCTACATGATGCAGAGGAGGAAGATTGCACCCCTGTAATCCTTGGAACTCTTCGCTGCGTGCGAGTTGTTTGAAATATGGCACAGCTTCACTACAGGCAGCCGCATGAACTACTGGCACTGCGTAAATCTCTACGGGCTTTGCAGTGTGGCGGTGTGGCAATCCCCCATAGCTCACAGTGGTATCATTCTGCCAGTCTAGGACAACGCTGATTGAGAAATCTAAGCAACGGTCGCATAGAGACACCTCAGCAATGGTCTGCGGTGGCTTCTGTCAAATTCTGGGACTCTTGTTCTAGGCAGGGGTCCGCAAAGAGGATCCCCGCAATATCATCCAAACGACGAGTCATGATGGGGCCCCAAAACATGCCAAAAACAAGGACCATTGATTTGCAAAATGCTCCCCATTGAAACCCAAATCCTAAACTTAGGAAGGGCTCGATGGACGCCAAAGTGGTGGTTTGCGTGGTCGACAGTCTCAAGTTAACAAGTTGCATTGAGCTATTGAGCTTTCCTCCTGCAGCTGGGGCCTGGAACTGACATATTGCGTCATGTCCCTAGCGTGTCCTGTCGCGTGTCTTGTGGCAAAGTGGAACTTTGAGGCCAGGGTCGCAAAACCCCGCAAACACCCTGTGTGAAACGGCCTTTTTTGGTGTTTTGCGTGTTTTGGATCCCGGGCTGAGTATCACATGTTCGCAGGACAACCTGCAAAAAAATGCAAGATGAGCCGAGAGCTATCTTGACTCAGTCCGCCCAAAGTCCCATCCCACCACCAAAACCTGAGGTGGTCAATCTGCACCTTTCCAAGAGAGTTGCCTTGCAATGAAGTGGCCAAGGCATGTTGCCTCAGAGGCCCTTGCAGGGGCCTACCCCAGCTTCGAATCCAGAACTGGAGTCTGAATCCATCAACATAACAACTTAGCTGGGCTGGCATGAGTGTCTTTGGGGTCTTCACGCCAGCCAGCGAACGAACACGCCTCCTAAACCGGAAGCCCCAACCCCGAAGCCCTGATTTCACGCCTCGGCCGGATTCCGTGGGGCCGGTCCACCCACCATGGCCTGTTGAAAGCGGGGGATGTGGGAGCTCTTGTGTAAGCAACGCTCATTGCAAGAAAATCCGAACTGACTAGGCCATATGTGTTGACTTCATAAGAGCAGGAGCGATTCTCAGATCTGAAGTGCTGGAAAGATACGAGTCATGCACCGGGGATCTAGACATGTGTATGCACTAGTTTATTCATGTAAGAGTTCTCGAAAGTGTGGGTCCCCTGTGGGAGAAAGCGGCTTCAGCTCTTGCAAAGACAAATTTCTTTTTGACTGCATAGGGGGGCATCAACTTAAGTTTGAAGCTGACACATGGCAATATGCTGGGCAAGTTTTTGAACGGCATTCGGCCCTGAACCCAAAACTGGAAACCCTGAACCACCAAAACCTGAAACCTGCGGGCCATGCTTCCTTCCCCATGTTGGTCATCTCTGAGCCTCGAAGCTCGGCGAAAAGAACCCCATCCCAAGCTCAGCAACTACGTACTGGTAACCGAGGTGGACTTGGGGACTGGATAAAAGTGCTAGGGGGATTTTATAGGAATTAGCTCTCCCACCCTGGCCCTGAACCAGACCCTCCTCCTACAGCAATACTGCAGCCAGGTCGGTGCCTGACAAAGGCACTGTTTGGGTCGGTTGATCTGAGGATCGCCCTGGAAGCCGGAAATTGTACAGGCCTCAGGCGAGCAACAAGGTGATTCTTTGTCAACGAACATGGAAAATCATGGAAATATTTCTAGCTTCCATTTCCTTGCCCAACGAGGAGGTGCTTGGGTTTCTGTACTAGTAACCATTATCAACAAGAATGCTGAGAAGCAATAGCTAGAGGTAATGGTACTTGGACCCCTACGTGTGTAGAATCACGCAAGGATTGTGGGATCCTCGGAAGTCTCGGACCTTAATCCATTTCCGGGGACCTGTTTGCCCCTATGTCCTGCGTGACCGAGATATCATTGACTGGTTTGCGGAGTACTCACTTGGGAGCCTTCCTAATTTCTCTTTCAAGAGCCAGAAAGCTCGAATATGGAAATGAGGTGAGTTATGCTACCCTTCCCTCTTACTCATTAGGTGTACCATCTGCTGTCGTGTGGTGAGGCTATAGATTGTTGAGTTTCTTCTGGTAGCATCGGCGGCATCCTGAGTGACTTTTCCCCCCTTCAGGTCGTGCCTTGAGTTACAGGCACTTCCCCCACACGCCAAGGGGATGATGATTGAGTCTGTGCAGCCTCAGGGAGTTCGCTGAGCTTTGCTTTTTCCCTTAGTCTCGCTGCCGGTGCGTGTGTGCGTGTAACCCGTGTGTGTGTGCAGCAAACCCTGTT